CAACTCCTCGCTCCTCCCTCCAACCTTCTTTGGGCTAGTAGCTGGTGCAGACTGCTCTGTCCCTTGTGATCTTGTACTGGACAAGAAGTTCAGGGAAGCTGAAATGAGAGTTGGAGCTGTTGTGCAACATAATGACCAAGTGCTTGGGTGAAAATGTAAAGAAATACTTTGCTGGATCATGAATATTTGTTTCATCTAGATTCATTATTGGTTATGGTGTGGGCTTGTTCCCACCATGTCCAGACCAAATCTGCACGCATCTCTGCAAAAGGTTGAAGATTTGGCTTTCATTTTTGTGCATTCCAACCCAGAAAAAAAAAAAAAATAGTGCATGCAGTAATTTTTTGGAACGCACTAGAACTGAACTCAATGGAGTAAAGCAGGCTCAGGACTACCATAGGAATACATGGGGATGCGTTTTTGTAACAGCCCAGAAAAATGTTCTGGTCTGGCTCTGGTCCGGACATGGTGGGAACAAGCCTGAGGGTTTCATACTTTGAAGCACGAGCACTTCATTCACCTAACACCCCACATACCCAGCCGTAGGTCTCAGAAAGTTTCAGTGAAATTTCTGCCATATGTTGTCGTAGTTCGGCAGATCTGGTATTATCAGCTCCCTCTGCAGAGGTGAGTAAAGTTCATTGCTGCAGTTTCGGCGGTAAATGAGAGATAATGGAATCATTATCGGACTGTGCGGTGTCTGAACATGACTGGGCGCTCACACAAGTGTTCAGGGAAAGTGCTGAAGGATTTATCCATGTCACCGCGCCTACTGTAACATAAGATGCACTATATTGCCAAAAGTATTGGGACGCCCCTCCAAATCATTGGATTCAGGTATTTCGTGAAATGTCCTTGCTACTAAATATTCCCTGGTCACCTGTTAGTGGTATTATAACAAAGTGGAAGCAACTGGGAACAACAGCAACTCAGCCACGAAGTGGTAGGCCACGTAAAATGACAGGGCGGGGTCAGCGCATGCTGAAGCGCCCACTGCGCAGAAGTCGCCAACGATCTGCAGAGTCAATAGCTACAGACCTCCAAACTTCGTGTGGCCTTCAGATTGGCACAACAGCAGTGCGTAGAGAGCTTCATGGAATGGGTTTCCATGGCCGAGCAGCTGCATCAAAGCCGTACCTCACCAAGTGCAATGCCAAGTGTCGGATGCAGTGGTGTAAAGCACGCCGCCACTGGACTCTAGAGAAGTGGAGACGTGTTCTCTGGAGTGACAAATCACGCTTCTCTGTCTGGCAATCCGATGGACGTGTCTGGGTTTGGCGGTTGCCAGAATGGTACTTGACTGACTGCATTTTGCCAAGTGTAAAAGTTTGGTGGAGGGGGGGGATTATGGTGTGGGGTTGTTTTTCAGGGGTTGGGCTTGGCCCCTTAGTTCCAGTGAAGGGAACTCTTAAGGCATCAGCGTACCAAGACATTTTGGACAATTTCATGCTCCCAACTTTGTGGGAGGAGTATGGGGATGGCCCCTTCCTGTTCCAACATGACTGCGCACCAGTGCACAAAGCAAGGTCCATAAAAGACATGGATGAGCGAGTTTGGGGTGGAGGAACTTGACTGGCCTGCACAGAGTCCTGATCTCAACCCCATAGAACACCTTTGGGATGAATTAGAGCGGAGACTGCGAGCTCGGCCTTCTCCTCCAACATCAGTACCTGACCTCACACATACGCTTCTGGAAGAATGATCAAACATTCCCATAGACACACTCCTAAACCGTGTGGACGCCTTCCCAGAAGAGTTGAAGCTGTTATAGCGGCAAAGGGCGGGCCAACTCAATATTGGACCCTGCAGACTAAGACTGGGATGCCATTAAAGTTCATGTGCGTGTAAAGGCCGGCGTCCCAATACTTTTGGCACTATAGTGTATCATGGATATAGGATCACGCCAGGCTCTTCTCTCATCTCCTCCCCACGTCAAACACCTCACCAACGGTTCGCAAAATATTTGTAGCACAACAAAAGACCTGCCCTAAAGTGTCTGTCGCTCTAACAAAGTTGCTGAAACAAGACCACCCTGTAAAAGAATAAAGTACGTCTCCGTGCGGCAATAAAGAAATCCTCCGCTGGAGCTCCTTCTGAAACTAACACGTACAGGAGTGTGGATCTGCTGTGCCCCCCCCCTGCAGCACTCATTGGTTCCTCCCAGTCCCCTGAGGTGACGTAGCAGTTGGGGGGAGCAACCACTGAGCACTGCGGGGGACACAGGAGATCCACACTCCTAGAAGTGTTTTGTTTTGTTTTTTTACAGCAGAGCAGTGCTCAGGGTCACAAGTAGTTGGAGAGATAAGTGTTCACCTTTTAGATAAAACATGTTAAATGCTTAACAGGGCACGGCCTGTGCATTGTGGTGACCTGTAGCACAGTGCGTTACCTTCTACTGTATATGTGCTTTGGGGTTTCTTCCAAAAGTATGGCAAGAAAAATGCCTGTAACAGAATCTTAAAAACCGCTTCCCTTTCCCTGGACTTCACAACGGCCTCAGATATAAGCGCAAACTTTATTCCTCCCCCCATTTATGGTTCGGTTAAGGAAATGGTCAAGGCCCCCAACAGACTTTTTATAAGGCAACTTGTATCCCATTAAAGGGAATTTACCTTCACTTCCTGTCTTGGTAGACACAACAGGAAGAGGAAATCTTTTCATAGGGTTAGGGAGATCCTCTCTTAAGCCTTGTTTACACGGGTGGTAAAAACAGGCGTTTGATCCACATTTTTACCACCTACCTAAAACCTAACATGGCGGTCGCTCGGGTGTGTGCACATGCTGCGCCTGCGATGAATGCTTTGTCTGCTAAATGCGACCTTTGCAGTCAATGGGACTGCGTCACAACCGCATGTCAACAGAAGGACTTCCAGTCAACAGAAATACTTCAGGAGCAGCAATGCCACTCGCAGTGAAGCTGAGGGAGCATAATTTCACTGCCCTTATAAATGATGCAAGAAGGCATTCAAAGAATGTCAGCTTCCATCAGAGGCCTCTCACACCGTCGTGACAATTGACTTTTGGAAATCTTGCGGTTTACAGGATACACACTGCAGAATTCTGCCTGCACATAAGAAGTCAACAACGTAGAGACTCTCTTTGTCACACGCCATTTTCTACAAGCACCCCGCACGTCTCCAGTTACACACAGGACTTAAATATGATTAGGGAACGCCACCAGTAAAATAAGGGACCGTTAACCCTTTCCAACCAAGAGGGATGAGATGATCCTTCCGTACATCCGGCATGGTAGCCGATCTGACCTGGCTCAGTCTCCTACCTGCACAGACCACACCCAGCCTCACCTGCATACGTCACATACCCAGCCTCACCTGCACCATGCTGCACAATGCCTGCACGCTTCACATACCCAGCCTCACCTGCACGCTTCACACACCAGCACTATGCTCGCACACCAAGCCTCACCTGCACCATGCTGCACATTGCCTGCACGCTTCACATACCCAGCCTCACCTGCACCATGCCTGCACGCTTCACATACCCAGCCTCAGCTGCACCATGCTGCACAATGCCTGCACGCTTCACATACCCAGCCTCACCTGCACAATGCCTGCACGCTTCACATACCCAGCCTCACCTGCACCATGCTGCACAATGCCTGCACGCTTCACATACCCAGCCTCACCTGCACCATGCTGCACAATGCCTGCACGCTTCACACACCCACCCACACTTCACACAACACACAGGAGAAAGAGCTGTATTCATTCCGCACATCCTCTCACAATAGAAAAGGTCACAGGGCTGCTGGAAGAAAACAGCAGGTGTGCGAGGGGCCAGGCCTACAACACCTCCATGTCCGGATCCCCGTGCCAAGTGAATAGAGACTCACAGAAAGCCGTGTGAAGCCTTCCATGAAGGAGGAGAATATCCATTAGATCACGGACAGCAGGTCAATGCATTGGATCACTGACAGCAGGTCAATGCATTGGATCACTGACAGCAGGTCAATGCATTGGATCACGGACAGCAGGTCAATGCATTGGATCACGGACAGCAGGTCAATGCATTGGATCACGGACAGCAGGTCAATGCATTGGATCACGGACAGCAGGTCAATGCATTGGATCACGGACAGCAGGTCAATGCATTGGATCACTGACAGAGTAAAGCAAATGGTGACAAGTCCATGTTAGTAAACAGCCAGCCACAGACAACAATTGTGTTTTGCACACTCACACTGTGGGGGGTAAGTGACCCTGATGGAAAAACTCTCTGCTCTATCCAAACTTACAATCAAAAAAAGGTTTTGGTTTTTGAAAGCCAAAAAAAAACACACAAAAAACACACAACAACATTCACACTAGGTGCTTTCAAATGCGTTTATAAATGGTTTTCTAAGTACATACATCTAAAAAGATTCCCAATAGATCTATTCAATAGACGTTTTGATCTGTAGTAGAAGTCAGGTGCATCCAGGAATTGATTTGAACTTAAATAACGCATGTAAAAACACAAGACATTTGATGAAGTCTCATTGGCTACTTCAAATCGAAGGACAGATGCACATAAACGCATATCATTTTAAGCATCAAGAAGCATAAACAAAGCATGTAGCCTGACAGATCTCAGCATAAAAACACAAGTTACAAATGTGAATGAAGCTGACGTCTCATTAGCCCATGTGGTCAAAATACCATCAGAATGAAAACCCGATAGGTGAATGCATCCAGAATTTTGAGTTTGTCGTGTTCACACAATGTGAACCTGTTTCATTCCCTGGTAGAAATAAAAAACATGGCTGAAAACTGACCACCACTACCTGGGCAGACATTTAACCCCTTCCTATACCTGAGGCTGATACACCTAGAGTGCAGGTTCTGAGTTACCTGCACTCCAGGAATGAATGAATGAATGAACTCAGGGCTGAGCCTGGAGTTCCCCAGCTCTGTAGATGGTGACAACAGGTGACAGAACCCCCATTAGAAGTTACACAAAGTCCTTCCTCTGCACTGGACACATGGAAGGAGCGGACTCACCTATGGACACCAGCCTGATGTTCTCCTTCTCCAGGAACTCCAGGGCCACAGAGACGTTCTCCAGCTGCATCTGGCTGAAGGTGGGTCTTTGGTGGTACTTTCTGTACATCCTCTTCTGGCTCAGCACCTCCAGCAGGGCGATCAGTCTGAGCCCATCGCTCAGGTCGGTCTGCAGGTTGCCTATCCTCTTGTTGACACATTTCAGGTGCTCATTACACCAGCGGGTGAAGGTGTTCTGCTGGATCTTCTTCCATGGAGCATCCTCAGCCAGGTCCTTCTCAGTCACCGGCATCGTGCAGGAGATGGAGGGGCAGGAGAGCTGCGATGTGCTTGTGTGCTGCTGGAGCTGAATGCCGCTGTCTCCTCCTGGCGCTGCTACTTCTGCACATGTGCAATGGGACTCTGACTCCTCCTCCTCTCCCAGGTTCTCCCACCTCGGGCGAGTCATTATCGGGTCATCGGTGCCATCTACTGGGTGCTGGACTCCAGGCCCGGATCGCACGACACCGGATACTGCACTCGGCACCATTCTACTGGACTGTGCAAGTTGCAGATCTCTGCCAAAAATAGAATTATAGCTGAAAGATAAAAAAAATAGTGTTGTTTTTGCTGTAATAGCAAGAGATTTTTTTTATTTCATATACAAGTATGTGTGAGTTACCTTGTAAGCTGGTACTTACATTGAAATATAAAGTTATATATTTAATGTAAATTTATAATAGTTTTTCCCAGTAGTCGGAGATAATTTTATTTTCTGTATGTAATTCTGTGTGTATGTGATATCCATACAATCGTATACAACTCCTGGATCCGATTCTATGGGCCAGCTCTCTGGGCACCATGTTTGATATACCTGAAAGCTTAATACAAAATTGTATTTAAATTGAAAGTCTTGTTTTTGCAATAGTCGGAGATATTTGTTTTTACGTTTTTTTAATTACTTTACAACCATCGCAAGACTAAGGTCTTGCGATGGTTGTAAAGTGTATGGCCACCTTTAGTCCTATCCAACTCTCGGATCTGATTCTATGGGTCCATGGCTTTGAAAAATAAAAAATATATACTCGGGGGGGATTTATCAAAACTGGAGCATCCATACAGTCGTATCCAACTCTTGGATCCAATTCTTTGGGCCCGCTCTCTGGGCACCATGTTTGATATATTTGAAGAAAAAGTATTTTCAAATTAAAAGTACAAAAATGATAATTTAGTTGGGGGGGGAGGGGGGGGTTTGCATTTGTAAGAGAAATGTTAATTCTGTGTATATAATTGGGTGTGATATCTGTACAATCATATCCAGGACTCAGATCAGAGTCTATGGGCCAGCTCCCTGATGATCATATCTTGATGAAAAAAAAGTGTATTTAAATTGAAAGTTAAAAAGATTGTAGTGTTTTTGTTTTTGCAGTAGTAGTAGGAGACATTTTAATTTTGTGTATATAATTGTGTGTGTGTATGATATCCATGCCACATCCATTCAGGGGTGTCCGCATAAGGAGACAGCCTAAAGGTGCCTATACACCTACCAGTGATCCCGCGATCGTACGATAATCGTCAGGTGTATGGAAGGCGTGCGACCGTTTCTACTGTACGGCCGCACGTCTTTTGTCTTCCGAGCACGCTGGAAAACCTGCCGAAAAACGTAAGATTTTCGGCGGGTTAGTGGTGTGCTCAGAAGACAAATGTCGAACGGGCCGGTGTGCGCACGTGCACACTGCCCGCTCAGCATTGCAGTCATCGGATGCCCGCCCCTCAGCGGGGCGGGCTTGCGATGTTCGCAAGTACGATTTGCCTGTCCAAGATGGGCAGATCGTACGAGCTTTTAATTACCTTACAACCATCGCACGATGAAAGTCGTGCGATGGTTGTAAGGTGTATGGCCAGCTTAAGGCCCCATTCACACTGAGCGACTTGCGATATTGAGCGACTTTTTTCTATTGGGCTGTATGCAATTAGGAGCTAAATCGCTCGAAAAAAGGGTCATGTAGGAGCTACAAGCGATATTGAGTGCTATTGAGTGATATTGAGCGATATTGAGCGACGAGATGTGAACAGCTCCATTGAAATGGATTGGAGAAGCTACATAGAGCGATATCGCGTGGAAATATGAGCGATATCGCTGCAAAAATCGCTCAATAAATCGCTCAGTGTGAATGGGGCCTGAGGCGCAAATGGTTGCATTGAGCAAACTAGAATCGCGGCAAAATCCGCTCCAAAAGGGTCCTGCTGTAGCGACGTGCGACAGCGACGGACAGAGCCCCATTGCCATGCATTGGAGAGCGATATCGCGCGGTAAATATCCACGATAAATCGCTCAGTGTGAATGGGGCCTAAGGCAGCATCTCATGGAGGGAAGGTCAGCATGGGCCTTCCCTCCAACCTCCCCCCTTCCCTGCGCACTGACAGCTCGGCCGACCGCTGCCTCCAGCCCGGCTTATATCTCATTCCCCTTCTCCTGGCTGTCTCAGGTGGTGAAAACAGTAGGCACAGCCCTGTGTCCAAGTCTCAGATTGAATTCTAAGTCGCTCTCTGGGTATCAAGTTTGATCAACTTGAGAGCTTTTTAAAAAAAAAAAAATTTAGATTTTTTTTTTAAGTGCAAGAACCTAAATTTGACATGGTATCAGCCTCCTGCAATCCCTCTACAGACTGGGAGAGGGAGACGCAGCTCAAGGAACCAGTCGGGTGTGCTGCAGTGCAAGAAGCTGGGTATGTGAAGTGTGCAACATTGTGCAGGCAAGGAGCCAGTCGGGTATGCTGCAGTGGAAGAAGCATACTGATAGAAGGAGATAGCAGAGTGATAGAGGGACGGACTCATCAGTGTGCTGCGTCTCCTTTCATTGTCCAATAATAGTGTGGGGGAGATTTACAATTCCTATCAATTTCTATCAAATTACAATTTCTATCAAGTTTTTTTTCTGTCTGTAAATCCATTGGAGAGATATTCTCTCACTTCCTGTCCTTGTGGCGCACGTATGAGAAATCCCTGGCTGCTATTCTGGTCCAAGGGCTTTGGTACTTTTGAATTCATTGGCTGGAAACTTTCAGTCTGCAGATCAGAAGTCGACTTCACTCTGACTTTGCTGATTTGCAGGTTTGGTCCGTGTCTCAAAGTATTAAATCTAGATACAGCCAAGCAGCCAGCATTTTTGGAAGGTCAGCAATGGCAGCTTTCGTTTTCACTCAGTACAGGTTTCCTGTAATTGTATTTTCTTTTTAAGTAGAATGTTATAAGTTTGTACCGTAATGGCGAGTTACTTCCTTTGTAGGGTTTTCCCTCCTTTTGGGAAGTCTAGTACTTATAGTGCCCCCTAGTGGGCATTAGTGAGCTTTCACTATAAATACTCTCGTGTGGGAAGGAGAGAGGACGTCCGGCAAGCCACCACGTAGAGCAGATACACTATTTTGCCAAAAGTATTGGGACACCCCTCCAAATCATTGTATTCAGGTGTTCCAATCACCTCCATGGCCACAGGTGTATAAAATCAAGCATCTAGGCATGCAGGCGCTTCTACAAACATTTGTGAAAGAATGGGTCGCTCTCAGGAGCTCAGTGACTTCAAGCGTGGTACCGTGATAGGATGCCACCTGTGCAATAAGTCCAGCCTTATGGTGACAGGAGCCTGGAGAGTCCTTTACCCCCGCTGCCCAAAGGTGTTGTACTATGCTGGGGGAACCTACAGGGAGCAGGGACCACTGTGCAGAGCTGCTGTATTTGGTCTACAAGAGACTGTGCTGTTGTGAGTAGTGCAGTCATCTGGTACCCATCAGAGACTGTGTTACTGTTCCGGTGACCATCAGAGACTGTGTTACTGTTCCGGTGACCATCAGAGACTGTGTTACTGTTCCGGTGACCATCAGAGACCGTGTTACTGTTCCTGTGACCACCAGAGACTGTGTTACTGTTCCTGTGACCAGTAGAGACCGTGTTACTGTTCCTGTGACCACCAGAGACCGTGTTACTGTTCCTGTGACCACCAGAGACTGTGTTACTGTTCCTGTGACCACCAGAGACCGTGTTACTGTTCCTGTGACCACCAGAGACTGTGTTACTGTTCCTGTGACCACCAGAGACTGTGTTGCAGTCTCTGGTGGTCACAGGCACAGTTGCTGTGCCTGTGACCACCAGAGACTGTGTTGCTGTGCCGGTGACCACCAGAGACTGTGTTGCTGTGCCGGTGACCACCAGAGACTGTGTTGCTGTGCCTGTGACCACCAGAGACTGTGTT